CGTCTTCTTTCGGTGTGATCGGGGTTCTTCTCTGTCTTAAGGGGAGACCCCAGCTGACTATATTTCAATAAAGCTTTCAATAAAACTAAAATCTCAGCTGGTATTTTCATTTCTGATCTTCTGCCAGACTGAATCTGAATTAACTCTCAAATTTAGCTAACAGCTTTACCAGGATCTTTCTCCAGGATCTTTCAAAATAATATTCAGTATGTACTTTCAGTACCTTATGATATAGTTCATTTTGTCTCAAAGATTAAACTCCAAGTAAATATTTAGTCCCTATGTTTCTATCAGTCTCAAGCTTCAGTTCTGCCTTTCATCCTGCAACATTCTGTTCTTCATAACTGCCTTTCATTTCCTTTCATTTGGTTCTTTACATTTGCTTGCAAAAACCTATCTGTCTGTCTGTCTGTCTGTCTGTCTGTCTATCTATCTGGGAAGACTAAACCAAAATAGGGTTTGAATATCTCTGCCATTTCTTTGTTAACTAGTTAGCATTTTACCATCTTCACTGAACTGGGGGTGTACAGATTCTTTTCTTTGCACTTTTTAAAAATATAATTTCTATTAAGAATTTTGAATTATAATAGTAAAATCTAATACAAGCTAAACTTAAAGAAAAGAGAATAGAAAGGAGTAAAAAGTGCAAGGAAAAAGAAAAAAAAGAGAAAAGAAATAGTAAAGTAAGAAATATATAAAGAAGTGCCTTCCAACCTTCATCACAACAAGTATAAACAAATTTAGTGACTCTTTGTCCCCTTTATGGTTACAAACATTTATCTCTTCATCCCATACCCCATCCCTTATCTATAAACAAATCCATAAAACATAATCTTTCCGGTCCTGGTGTCAGCCAAAAGTCTATAAAGAGTTGCCAGAAGTAATAATATATCTTGTTTTAACCTTGATGAAATAAACCAACTTTATATTCCTTCCTTTTACTTCTAACAGTCTTGATCTTTAGTTCATTCAAATATTGTCATGTGATTTTTCTTCATTTCTTCTTTGTCCCATTGTACAGAGTTCTTCAAGGCTTTAACAAGCCTCTTTTGTAAATCCAGTAGGAAAAAATTATCCAGTTCACTCTCTTGGTTTGTCATTT